GTGCTATTGCTATTACAGAAACAAAAGAACAGTACTTTTAACGGTTGACAATAGCGCAATTGGGAAAATGTTTTTGTGGTGTTATGGTGAGGTAAAGGTTTCTGTTGCAATCAATAAATTTGCTGTACATTATTCAATTTTTTAGTACCTATTTGTTTAAAAAAAACAACAAAAAAACTGTAAAGGTGTGGGTGTCCGGGTAAGTTACTTTTATTTTTTGGGTTGTTGTTTGATCGCTATGGTTAGGTAAGATGCTATGAACAGGAAATTTGTGATACTGTACATTCAATTTGGTTCTGTCAGAACTGGTAAGATTCTAGATCTACCATATATCTGAGCATGTGGCTTTGGAAGTTTGTACAGTTTAAGTATCTGTATCTTTATCTATCTACTCATTAAGGGTCAGCTGAATTATGGTGAGGGTACATATATGAATTTTTTCTTGACCCAAACTGCTTTCATCTATTTCACTTGGTTAGGTAAATACTTTTGCTAGATGCAGCATCAGTTTTTCAAGCAATAATAGATTTGTGAACTATGACAAATAGGTACATGTTCAATATCTATGTACCTTATGTATGTGTATGTTTTTAATCCTGTTGCAACCAAATCGTTGTTAGATGTATTATGAATTCATTACAAATGCATATATTTTTATTCTTTTGATGCTTTTACCTATCTATGGATCAGTGGATTGAAAGTCTTTTCTATTGTTTGTTTCCAACAAGAACTATAACTGTACAAGTACTTTACCTTCTATTGGTATGGATCAATTGGTTTTTGATATTTTGTTTTTCTTTTAACTGTATCTTAAATCATTATGTTGTTTTATATAAGTCTTACCACAAAGGCTACATTACTTAATTTCTATAGGTCATTTTGATGATGCTGTTCAATTAGTGAAGTAGGTGTAGCAGTAGTATAGTAATAGTAGTAGAAGAACAAGAACAAGCTCATTGCTGAAATGAAAACGCCCGCGGAATCAGTGCGAGCTATGGGTTTGTTGGTTTGTTCCACGGCGTAGAGAGGCGCGCGCCGGTACTAATAATGGATCTAATGGATCCCAAACTGGAACATCCCCAGCCCCAGGTACTCCATTATCCCCACCGTACCTCTCTACACCGTTGTTTGTTCTTTTTCTCTCCCCCAAAGTGCATCATCAGCATCAGAATAGATTACTTCAGCTAACAGAAGAAGTAAAGCGGGTGGAGCATAAACGTTCCTGTTTGGTCGTGAACTTCCTGTCGTTAGGTCACGCCGGTAATTGTAATAATGGCCGGACAGATCAGGAACGCTCATGTTCTCTACCCGTTAATTTTCCTCCTCTATTAGATAAAGTACTCTATAGCCTATCTCGGTTAATTACTATGAACACATATTTTGTGGTTTGCCACGGTGGTATTTATTTATCAGCATCTCTGTTTCTGAGTTCAACATAGACTGAACTAGGTTTTACACCTTAGACTGCTTACTGTGCAAAGGATTGTGTTGTCTCCTGAAATTTGCACTAAAATTGGCTTTTTAGGGGGATTTAATTTTTATTCTCACTACTTAAGTTTTAATAGTATTGTTAATAGCCCCTCTAAGTCCAGAGGGGAGAGAGCATGCATATTGTTCTATTGTTGACTGATGTGGAAGAAGTGTGAGAAGTGTTTGTCGGCTGCTACATTTTGTTATTTTGGATGCAAGGTACTATTTCAACTTGCACAGGGTTTTATTGTATTCAAGTGAATCTATTTATTTTAAAAATTGACAATATGTGTATTATGGTACATAAGTATGTAGAGTGATGTGCACAATATTAGTGCTTAACATGTGCCTTCTCCTTAATACCCATTTAGTGAATCTCTTGTCTGTTCTCTCCCTTTGTGTGTTTTTGATGATAGTTAGTTGCCTTATTTTTCTTCTTTTATTTTTAAGTTTACATTAAATGTGATTCCCATCTATTGTTACACTGAGAAAATTTCTCTTCTTATTTGCTAGCATTAATTTCTTGATTAAAAATGAAATGTTTTTAGTGTTCAGTGAAGGGGAAAGACAGAGAGAGGAGGGGACCACCATATTTAAGCATGTAAAGTTTTCTTCTCTTGTGTTTTTGTAGATGCTTTCTCTTCTAGTGACTTCATTATTATATTACATATTAGGATTGCAGTATTGGACTGTCAGCCAAGAGACCACCATTGTCTTGTTGGATGTTCTTCAATTGTGGGTCTGGGGAATAAGTTATTAGCAAGCCCATTTTACATAAATGACCAAGAGACCTGATGGAAGAAAATTGGGAAGATATAAAGATGCCTTAATGCTCCTATATTTTGTGATGCAGACACTCTTGTAGTTCAATCACTTTGTGTGTGGTGGTGGGCTGCTGAACTTGTGTCAGGGTGCCTTTATAGGCTTCCCTAACTGTTGAATCTTTATTCATGTTACTACAAAAACATTAAAATGAATATATTTTTAAAACTGATGTGTATGCTTTCCATTTACTAGGTATTTTTTTTTCACAAAACAGGATATTTTAAATCAATTTAATTTCTCAAGCATTCTGAAACTGTTATTTACAAAGACAAATCATTCCATTGGTCAAAATGGACTGAAAGTTACAGCAGTTAAACATACTTAAATTTACTAAATCATAAATCATTTAACAATAATATAACTTTGTACATAAAGAAAATGCAGCACTTTGTTCCCCTATGAATGCTTAAAATTAATTTCTTTTTATACTTTTAGCATTCTCACAGTTTCATGACGAGGCATAAATAAGTCAGACTTGCCCAAGTTACGGGCAACAGGATCTGAAACAGGATTCTTGGCTCCTTTTCACATACACTTCGCTCTGCAGTTCTCAACCATTTTCCTCATGGCAAACGGATGATTCATAATAAATATTGATAGGCATTTCACGGTCTGGACCAAAAACGGACTAAGTCTTGACCCCAGGAACAAGACAAGATTGTGACAGCAGGTACATTTAGCTCTGCGAGGAGGGAAGACTTCTTCGAGAATGATTGATGATAAGTGAGGCGTGCTTTTTGAACCAGTCTTCAGTGTTGATTCCACACTGTTGTGTTTGGGTAGGGATGGAATCCCGATAATGGAAGACTAACGGTGCACGAGTGTGATTAGGTCTTTCTCAGTCATTGTAATGGGAGATTTAACAGTTTTGCTGTCTCCAACCGCCCCCTTAAAAGCAAAAGGATATCATTTCAGCTATGACATAGGAAAGTGCTGACAAGTGCCAAAGGCACCTGCCACAGTGTATCTTCTCTTTTCTTTAGTCGGTTGATCGTTTGCTGACATGTCAGATGCTAAAGTAAATGTCAATCAAATCACGAAGGTAGTCATTTTAATGTGGGTGGGGACCAAATCTAAGAGGAGATTTGTTACAGACTACGGCAAATTAAGAATTACAAACAGTCTTTAAGTTGGAAATGATGATATATAAGTATGTATGAGAATGAAGTCCATCTGTCTGTATGCTTATTCAAAGCTACCTTTAAATCATTACAGGGTATGAGCTCCCATTCTACAAAAAATAAAACTCACCAAGAGTGATTGGGCCTCCTTCAGAGTTTAGATCAAGGTGTGACTTTTGTTAGTTCTCTGTGTCTAGGTTGACCACAGCATTACTTTCTTTTAAACATTTTTCAGGATCGCAATTAGAAAGGTATCTTGAAAATCAGAGAGGAAATAAGCAATGACCTTGCAAGTAGCAAAGAGGAAGTCAGAGTAAAAAAGAAAAAGAAAAAGAAAACATTTTGGGAAAATTAAAGATAACACAATCTTAAGGGAATGACCAAAAGAGCATGCCTCTGTGTAATGCAATGGTCATTCCCTCAATGAACAGAAATAGCTCAACATTTTCAGTGTGGTGGAGACTGTTGACTACGAAAGGTACCTGTCTTTAGGAAGCAACAACTGAAATATAATAACATTGGAACCTTACACATAATGGACGTGAGCTTTGTTAAAAGTATAGTTTGACGACAGCACAGCACAGAAACCAATTTATGTTAAAATATTTGGAATTGTTATTAATTTTATCAAAAGTTAACACCCTCTTTCACATACCTACATTTCTTACCAGATAGGAAATTTTCATGTGAATGGCGATATTGTATGACATTAAATGAAATGTGCCAACGTGGCAGAGAGAATGGGAAGAAATCATATTTACATAGCAATAATGATAAAACAATTGAATACATGATCACAATCCAACATAGAAAAATCATCGTAAAAGCGAGAAAGCACACCATTCCTGTCCACACCTCCTAGTTTCAATTTGCGGAGTTTCATAATTTTTTTGAAAATCAAAAAATTCCATGATCAGCACTATAGCACTTAGCCAGAAATGAATTTCATAACGATATCAAAAATATGTCGAAACGATATCGAGTCGCAGTCGTCGTCCCTGAGTGTCGTTTTGATGTGGGAGCGACACTTACGATGTTGTTCCGACATCTTTTTACAATAATTTGTCTGTTAATTGTGTTATTGTTAAATTGTTCATATTGTACCAGGTGGCTGATTAGCTCCGCTCACTTCTGTAGTTCTCTGCTGTACCGCACGCACAAGTGCGAGCAGGTTGCCTACTCGCTCGGCCCATAAGGCGCCTTGGACAGGGGCGATAGGCAAGCCCGTTCGCACTCGTGCGCGAGGTACAGCGTAACTACAGAACTGAGCGGGGTTAATCAGCCACCTGGTATTCGACAAAAAAATTCGTAAATTGTAGTAACTAAAGAGATATGACAGGTTTTGGAGTGGGCTTGGTGCACATTCCCGCTGCGTCCTCATCAAATCGAAGGTCTGGGCCTTCTGCCTAGGCTCACCCAACACGTTTCGTAGCTTTCGTTGCGCTTGTTTAGTAGGCCATCTTACGTGACATATCACAAATACACATATAACATTATAATTATTATTATTATGATCATATTTTAACAATAAAAT